TAGACGCGGTCGAGCCTGTTGAGGTCACTGGTGACTCTGGTGCTGCTGCGGGTGCGGAGCCTCGGGGTGCTGAGCCTGGGGGTGCTGAGCCTGGGGGTGCTGAGACTGGGGGTGCTGAGCCTGGGGGTGCTGTGCCTTGGGGTGCTGAGCCTGGGGGTGCTGAGACTGGGGGTGCTGAGCCTGGGGGTGCTGAGCCTGGGGGTGCTGAGCCTGGGGGTGCTGGGCCTGGGGGTGCTGAGTCTGGGAGTGCTGCGCCTGCTGCTTCTGTTCCTGGTGGTTCTCCGGACCGTTCTTCACGCCGTGAGCCGCTCTCTCCTCTGGAGCTGCGTGAGTGGTTTGCCCGGCGCTGGAGGCGAGCTGCTGGAGCTGGGGGTGCTGGGGGTGCTGGAGGTTCTCTTGCTGCCGAGGGAGCTGGTACCACGGGTCCCGGAGGTGCTCGTACTGAGAGTACTGGAGCTGCCGGGCCCGGGGGTGCCTCTGGAGCTGGAGCTGCTGCGGGTGCTGGCGCTGAGACTACGACTGTCGGTCCTACTGAGGGTACTTCTGGTGCTGCTGGAGGTGCTGGAGTTGGAGCTGCTACTGGTGCTGGTGCTGCCTCTGGAGGTGTTGGTGCTGTCCATGCTGTCTCTGGCGGTGCTACGCGGCCTCGGCCGTACTTCGTTCCGCTCCTTCAGCAGGTTCTTGGTCTCCCACCTTCCACTGGTCCTTCTCCTCCCGTAGAGTGCCCACAGCCTGTCCCGTCGCAGTCACAGTTACAGCCCGCCTCTCCCCTGCCTTCTCCTTCTCCCTACACTGGTCCTACTGGAGGTCTTGCTGAGCGTCGTGAGCCTGCGTCCCGCCCTGCGTCGCCAGTCGGAGCTGCTCGCCCTAGTGGTCGCGGTTCGCGTCAGCGTCCTCCTCCTGTCCCTGGCACACACGGGATGTCTCTGCGTCCGTCCACTGCTCCTCTGCGTGCCCCTTTGCCTTCTCCTCCTCAGTCTTCTCTTCCTACACTTGCCGACCCGGAGTCGGACTCTCGCCGTGCTGCCAGTCCTACTGTCACGCGTCTTCTTGCTACTCTTGTCACTGACCCTTCCTTTGAGTCCGCTGCTGCGTCTGCCCTACTTGCTGAGCTGGTCGACTTTGCTGCTGCGTGTCGTCTAGACTACGCTGCCAGTCTTGTTGCTGAGCCTGCTGAGTCTGCTGAGTCTGCGTCTGCTGCGTCTGCGTCTGCCTGTCCTCCGTCCGTCGGGGGTGACTGTGCTCTTGGCACGGACGTCCTTGAGGACAAGCAGGAGGAGTTTCAGTGCTTTGCCGCCGCTTTGCCCCATCTCGTGTCCATGCTTGTTGCCCCTGAGGGAGACCCGGATGCTCTAGACATCCCGACCCCACGCTCTTACGCAGAGGCGATGGCCGGTCCCTACTCCTCTCAGTGGCAGTCAGCCATGGACGCAGAGATGGCTTCCTGGAAGTCCACAGGCACCTACGTTGACGCTGTTCCCCCTCCTGGGGCGAACATTGTCAGTGGCATGTGGATCTTCAGGGTGAAGCGGCCGCCGGGTTCTCCGCCTGTCTTCAAGGCGCGCTACGTGGCTCGTGGCTTCAGTCAGCGACAGGGAGTTGACTTCTTCGAGACCTTCTCCCCGACCCCGAAGATGACCACTCTTCAGGTTCTACTGCACGTCGCTGCTCAGCGTGACTACGAGCTACACTCTCTTGACTTCAGCACTGCTTTCGTGCAGGGCCGCCTGCACGAGGAGATCTGGCTGCGCCGCCCTCCTGGCTTCACTGGGTCGTTCCCTCCTGGTACCCAGTGGAGCCTCCGGCGGCCAGTCTACGGTCTCCGCCAGGCGCCGCGTGAGTGGCACGACACACTGAGGACTACACTTGCGGCTCTTGGGTTTGCTCCTTCTACTGCTGACCCGTCGCTGTTTCTGCGCACCGACACCTCGCTGCCGCCGTTCTACATCCTCGTGTACGTCGACGACTTGGTCTTTGCCACTGCGGACACTGCCGCACTCGCCCACGTGAAGTCCGAGCTGCAGAAGAGACACACGTGCACAGACCTAGGTGAACTGACAAGCTATCTTGGCTTGCGGATCACCCGGGACAGAGCACGCCGCACCATTACCCTGACTCAGTCACACATGGTGCAGCAGGTCCTTCAGCGCTTCGGCTTCACGTACTCCTCGCCTCAGTCCACTCCTCTGCCTACGGGACACTCGCTCTCAGCTCTGCCTTCGGATGAGTCCGTAGAGTCGAGTGGTCCGTATCCAGAGCTTGTGGGCTGCCTCATGTACCTGATGACCTGCACTCGACCTGACCTCGCATACCCTCTCAGCATCTTAGCACGCTATGTTGCTCCCGGCCGTCACCGGAAGGAGCACATGGATGCAGCTAAGAGGGTGTTGCGCTACTTGTGCAGTACGTCGGGCATGGGGCTAGTGCTTGGAGGGCGAGAGCGGAATGTGCTCACTGGGCACTCAGACGCTTCTTGGGCTGACGACCAGGCTACTCAGCGGTCGTCTCAGGGTTACACCTTCAGTCTTGGCTCTGGCTCTGTCTCTTGGCGCTCTACTCGCTCTTCTTCGGTTCTCAGCTCCAGCTGTGAGGCTGAGATCCACGCCACGGCCATGGCTGCCCAGGAGCTTCGCTGGCTCACCTACCTGCTGACTGACCTTGGAGAGCGGCCTCGTTCTCCTCCAGTGCTGTACGTCGACAACAAGGCAACCATTGCCTTGTGTCATGAGCACAGAGTGGAGCACAGGACGAAGCACATTGCTCTGCGCTACTTCCTTGCTCGAGAGCTGCAGCAGCGTGGTCAGCTTCGCCTGCGTTTCGTGGCCACTGAGGCCAACACTGCTGATGTGTTCACCAAGGCACTTCCGCCTCGTGACCATCAGCGCTTTTGCACTCTGCTAGGCCTTGTGCCCACTGGGCCTCACTTGCTTACCTCTTGACCTTGCTTGTACTGCTGCATATATATATCCTTGCTCTTGCTTGTTTAGCACTGTTATATATATATGCTCTGCTGCATGTGAACTGGCCTTGTGGCCTTGACCTTGTGCTCGGAATTTGTGTGGTATCCTTGAGATCCACCCTGAGCTTGCTTTGCTTTGCTTTGCTTTACTTGACTGGTCTTGTGACCCCTTGCTCTCCCCCACTTTGCCTATGGGGGTGTGTCAGATGATTATATTGCTGATGCATATATGTAGGCTGTAGTGGGGTAGCCCACAGGGGGTACAACCCAATTAAGGTTAGTACTTGTACTTGTTTCATTTCATAGTGCATCATTCCTCGCCTCTATCTCAACATCTCGACCCCTGCTTAGCCGTCGGGCAGTTTCTTCCCGCGTGTCCCGGCGGCCTGTACCGACTCCTCCGTAAATGTCGGGGCAGTACGTTGAACGCCGTTTAATCGTGGGTCGCTTGCAGCTGTCCCCGAAAACGACTTCTCTGGTAGGAGAAACCGCTCTCGAAACTGCCGGCCAGCTTGCAACAACTCCAGGCACGCAGCGTCGCACGAGTCGTTTTCCGAGGTTACCGGCCCCGGTTTCCCTCACCGCCTGCGCCCCACTTCTGCTAAGTGCGATATGGCCACTCCGCTTTTCGTTGCAGCCCGTAAGTGTCGGCGGGTCCGAAAATCCCGTCTGTCCACGTGCACTTCTGCCGAAAACGTTGATGACGCGCCCGCCAATGCAGTAAAGGCCGCTGCACTTAACAGGTCGGGCGGGACGGCAGTTGACTCCCGCATAAATCGGGCAGTCCTCGTGGCGCCTCTCCTCGTCACCAGCTTTTTCAGACGCAAACTTCATTTGCGCCTGGCGAGTTCCCCAGCCGACTTTTTCTTCACAGCAGATCCGAAATTGTCGCCCACAGTGACGCACGTCCGTTGTCGCCAGCTGCCGCAACACATTCCGCGAGTCATGCGCGCAAAATGACGACGAGCCACCGTTGTCACTTGCCGCATGAGACGGACTCCGAAATTGTCGCGCAGTTGTTGACTCAGGTCCGACGGCGTCAACTGCCACACACGTTGACGACTGCCGCAAACTTCGTGCAGGTGCCGACGCAGGTCCGCTGACGCCAGCTGCCTCACAAAATTCCGAAATCGTCGTTAAAACCGCAGCGGAATAGAAACTCACGTTTAATGTCGCGACAGCTACAGCTGTCCGTTGCCCGGGGGGAGGGAGGCCACGGTCGATCGCGACCGTTCGAGGCAAGGATCTGGCGGTGCCGAAGGAGTACCCGAAAAACTATGGCCGCGAGGAGCAACTAACTCGTTCTCCTGGCTGGCCTACGCAACTCTTGGACCCCAAGACATCCTTCCTCGTCCCCCCCCCGAGGGGTATTACACTCTAAAAAGCGGGGTAGGCTAGGAAAGTAGCTCTGATACCAGGTGTTATGAATGAACTTGCAGAGTGCGCAGAATATCGAATATCGAGAATGAGAATTACAGAATCACTGAATGAACAATGAAGTAGCGAGGCCTAAATAGGGGAAAAGCTAGCTAGGCGGGGAGGTTGGGCGAGGATGGCTCGGTGATGGTTGCGATTGGAGCGGAGGCCGACTCGGGAGTGGTTCGGTGCGACGAAATAGGAAGGTCAGGTTCGTCGCGTGACCCTCGGGATGACCTCGCTAAAGAGTGCCTCAGTAAGGATTTGTAAATCCTTACAATCAACCTGCTCTTTGGTGGTGTTGGGGCCTTGTAACGAACGATCCACCCGCCGCCGCTGCTGTTCTTTGCGCACCCGTCACCCGCTTGTTCAACTGCCGCTGTCCTTGCGAACACTATTGGAACCCAACCCAACCATTTGGTTTTCAACAGCCCAAACCCTAAAAGTGAGTGATATGCAAGCAAGGCGTTTCAGGTCGGATAATCACAGCACACTCCTGTCCTCCAGCCACGATGATGGCCGTCCGAGTCGCCATTATCGCCGGAACTTTAGACAAGTGTCAGGAAATATAATTTTCAGCAATGCGATTAAATCTCCCCAGCACCACCGCCAGCCAAAAGCCCCGATGAACTTGCTCAGGCAGCGAGTGGCAGGACCGTCTGGACTAGGCGGAGGGAGGAAGGGGGCGACGAGTGGAAAGACGAATGGCGCAAGCGCCGATGGTGAGGAAGACAGTAGTGGAGGAGTGGACGGTCAAGGCGACGGAGTGTCTCTTCCACCGGGGGACGATTGGACTCGTCGCAAGTGGCCTGATTTGGGCAGCAGCGGGAGCAGCTTCAGCCTGAGCAGCAGCAACAACAGCAACCCCACGTTTTCTGGTTTCCCCCCGCCACCTGTCGCCAACAATGGCTCCGCTAGTCCTGAGCGCAAGCTGGGCTGGCGCCGTCGCTCGCTCTCCGTCTTGCCGCACAAGGCCGCTCTCAGATCAACCTCCCCCCTCCGCGGCGTCTTCCCCAGCGTGCAGTCGCTGGGCGGCGGAAAGGAGTCGGCGGCGGGAAACGCGCGGGCTCAGCGGAAGGGCGGGGGCAAACTCGCCAGCGAAGCGGAACGCGCGGGGGCAATGCCGGTTGGGGGAGCCGCCGGAGCAGCAGGTGGGCCGGCGGGCGCGGTGATGAGGCGGCAGGGGCTGAACCTGGGTCCGCGGGGCTCCCCGCAGGGGCTGAACGCGCTAGAGGACATGCTTAAGGGCGGATGGTCCTCCGCCGAGTCCTCGCCCGCCGTCACCCCGCAGCGCTCCATGACCGTTGGGGTCGACAGGACCGGCGCTAGGAGGGGGGGCGGGGCTGCTGCGCCAGCTTTCGCCTCGCCGCCCTCTTTTGGCGGGTGGGAAAGGCGAGCCGCGGCAGAGGAAGCGGGAGGAGCGGGAAGGGCGTCAGACCTGGGTGGGTGGGGTGACGGGGAGGAGGGAGGTGCTGTGGCGAGGGGTAGCGGGCTAGGAGACGAGGCGGTCATTCTGGGAACGGGAATGACGGCGGCAAGCGCGGGGATGGGGGCTGGACATCCGCGGATGGTAGGCGCGCAGGCAGGAGGTGGTGGGAGCCCATTGCGCGCAGCGGTGGGCCGGAGTGGTAGCGCGGAGGACGGGAGAACTGGTGTGGAAGGTAGGTGGGGCGATGAGGAGCGAGGGCAGAAGAGGGCGATGCGGTCCAAGACGGGCGATGGGGCGGCGGCATGGGCGGGATGGTCGCACGCAGGCGAGGGGTGGCGGGCGGACGCGGGGAACGGAGGGGAGGCGCAGGAGCACAGGGACGTGACCGGCGCGCAGGTGCTGGGGCGGGCGTGGAGCAGGGCGGGGGAGACAGCAAACGGCATGGGCGGGGGCAGAGGGGCAGCAGCGGAAGGCGCAGGGGGAATGGGGAGCAACAGAGGAGCCCTGCCAGGCGTGTGGGGCGGGAGGGGGGCAGGGGGCTTAGGGAGACCTGCTGTGGGGAGGCTGGGCGGCGGGGCAATGCATGGGGGGGGTGTGGTGGACGCAGGCCAGGGGAGAGTAACGGCGATAGCACGTCACCGCAGTCAGAGTCTGGCGGACCTGCTGCAGACGCAGACAGGCGCAGGGGGGAGGTCGGAGGGCGAGACGGATGGGCGCGGCGAGGACAGCGGGAGTGGCAGTGATGGGGAGGGGGAAGGGGAGAAGTGCATGCGGCGGGGCTTCAGCCTGAACGCCAGTGGCAGCAGCGCGGGGGGCAGCGGCGCGCATGTGAGCCACAGCGCCCTGGGACGAGGTGGCGCGCATGTGCTGCGCCCTCCGCATCTCCCCAGCCCCAGCCTGAGCGCGCTCCCCTTGCTCTCCCACGCCTCATCCGTTCCCACCGTTGCTCCCCAATGGAGGGGCCCGCGGGAGGGAGGGGAGTGGCCAGGGAAGGCGGCGGAGCAGGTGGAGGAGCGGGAGAGGGAGGCGAGAGGGAAGGGAAGAGGGGGAGGCGGCGGGAAAGGCGTAATTGATGGGCAGTTTGCGTGGGACGTTCCGTGGCAGGGACTCGTGAAGGGGGAGGGAGGTGATGCACAGGAGAGGACATGGGACGAGGAACGCAGGCAGGGCGGGCAGGGAGGGCGGCAGCGCAAGGAGCGAGAGGAAGGAGGTGGTGGTGAATTGGAGAGGGAGGGGACTGAGGAGAGCAGTGAGGAGTGGGAGGAGCAGGAAGACGGGAGGGCGAAGAACGGCGGAGTGCGAAAGGAGCAGGATCTAGACGAGACAGAGAGTGAGAGCGATGGGGAGAGCACGAGTGAGAGAGGTAGTGGTGGTGTGGAAGAGGAGGGGTCTGAGGGCGAAGGCAGCACGGGTGAGAGTGCGCACTGGCAGCAGCAGGGCGGACGTGTGAGCGAGCAGGGAAACAGTGGCAGTGGGGAGGGGTCGGTGGTGATGGTGGAGAGCGACAGTGATGCAGACGTGCAGAGAGATGCAGCGTGGCACAGCGACGCTGATGGGCGCAGTGCTGCCCCCTCTCACGCTTCCTCCGAGGGTGCTCACAGTGACGCTCGTGGTCATGTTGTGGTTCAGGGGAGAGGACATGCAAGCGATGGGAGGGTTACTAGGGGGTACGGTGGTGAGGGTGGTGGTGGTGGGGTGGAGGAGAGAGCAGGGCGCGAGCAGACTGCAGTAGATTTGAAGGTACGCGGGAGAGAGCACGGAAAGCTGTTGAAAGGGGGGAGGGATGAGGAGGAGGAGGAGGAGGAGGAGGAGGAGGAGGAGGAGGAGGAGGAGGAGGAGGAGGAGGAGGAGGAGGAGGAGGAGGAGGAGGAAGGGGAGGAGGAGGAAGAGGAAGGGGAGGATGACGAGGTGGTAGATGCAGTGCCTATATCGCCCACAATGCTTGCTCTCCTCACATCCTCCACCACGGCTTACCCCCACCCGTACCCGCTCTCGCCCTTGCACCATGCGGCCTCCCAGCCTCCCATGCACATGCTGAAAGCCAGCAGCAGCAGCAGCGGCAGTGGCAGTGGCGGCAGGCGACTGACAGGGAGTGGGGGCTCTGGTAGCTGGGGCGGGCAGGCAAGAGGCTCAGGCTCAGCGCAGGAGAGTGGAGGACAGGGAGGAAGGCTGGGTCGACCCGCAAGTACAAGCGCTGCCGCTTTCCATACACGACCCCTCTCTCCTGCTGCTCTAGCACCTGCTGCTGTCACCGCCAACAGCAACAGCATCAGCAACAGCAACATCAACATCAGCAGCAGTGGCAGCGGGGGCAGCAGCAGGGGCAAGAAGGCAACGCTTCCCTGTGCGCCCCTGCCTCCTCCCGCCGCCCCTGTTGCCGGAGGCTCCAGGGCACCTGCTGCTGGTGGGCATGGGCACAGGAGCAGCGGGGGCAGGGGGAACAGGGGGAAGCAGCGCGTGAGTGAGGGCGGCAGTGTGGTGTATTGGAGCAGTGGCAGCGGTGGCAGCTGGGGTGGTAGTGGTGCTGACTGGACTCTCACTGACCTTGCTGCCCCTTCCACCTCGCCCACTGACCCTCAACATTCTCCACAAGACATACCGCAGGTGATGTGCAGGGCAGGTGACGTGCAGGGCAGGTGACGTGCAGGGCAGGTGAGAGGGCGAGGGGTGATACGTGTGTAAACATCTGCGTGTACACTGGTGAACCTACTACTCTCAGCCCAGTGCATGCGATTTACTGTTCATGGGCTCAGCATGGGACGCGGTGGGATGCCCGCCCCTGTCCAGCAATGCCTGCCACACACTCAGCTCCGTAGCATCTTAGAGCTGCTCGTTTTCCCATCTCACTCTCCCTCGTGCCCTGCTGTGCTTGTCGCCTCACTGCAGGTGGCACCACCCCAAGCTGCGTACAAGGCCAGCCCTGCCACTCCTTCCACCCATGCCACCGCTGCTGCACCTGCCACCACCGCCACCACCGCCACCACCGCCGGTCCTCTGAACACCAGCAGCAGCCCCGGCAGCCACTTCCCCCTTCGGCCTTCCCCTGCCTTTGCTGCTGCCAGACCCCCCCGCCAACCGGCAATGCCAGGGGCACAGGCAGCGGGGGGAGGGGGATCAGCAGGAGGCGAGGGGGGGGATGGAGGGGAGTTCGGGGCGCGGGGCAGGAGAGAGGGTTCAGAGAGGAGGGCCCTGAGTCAGGTGCGTGGAGGGGTGGAACCAAGTGTGGTTGCTGTTGCTGTTGCTTGCTTGCTCTTGCTATGCTGTTTGAGGCACGCCTCTTCTTTCCATCTCAGCCTGCTTCCCTGCCCCCGTGTTGCTCCGTGCACGACCACCATGTGCAGATCCCGCCACTCGATTCCCCATCACCCACGCACGCGTCACCGTTTGCATCACCGCACGTGCCAGCAGCCGCCGCCTTCCCCTCCTCCTCGTCCGTGCCAGCCTGCATGCCCTCCTCCCGCTTCGCCCCCTCCCCTCCGCCCTTCGCTCTCGCCTCCCTGCGCACCTCGTCCCTGCAGCCCTCTGCTGACCCAGCAGCAGCACCAGGGGGCGCGCCACCCGTATTCTCCAGTGCATCAGCAGGTGGTGGGCCCGCAGTGGCCTCACCATCAGCACCCAAGCCATTGACCTATCCAGTACCATCAGCAGGATCAGCGGCAGGAGGGCAGCGTGTGTGTGTGCGGTGTGAGGGAGTGGAGATACCCAAGCAGGCACGCATAGGCGGTGACATCACCGTGTGGTTCACCCTTCGTAACTTCTCCAAACGACCGTACGCCCCCCCTCCTCGCTCCCTCTTCACCCCCACCTCCTATCACTCACAACAAAGCATCTGCTGCTCATGGTCGCCTGCTGCCGTGCATCTCGCCCACCCCCTCCTTCCTCATCCCCGGCCTTTGCATTTGGACACCTTCCCCCACTCTTCCCCCAACCCTTCCACCCCCCGTTTCCCGTCACGCCCTCGCCCTCCTCTACGCAGAGTGCGGGGGCAGGTGGAGCTGGTGGTGAGGGTGCAATGGCACACGGAGCAGGGCGAGGCGGTGGAGAGGGAGGCCAGGGAGCTGGCGCTGCCCATGGCGCCCGCAGACCGCACACGTGTGGACGTCAGAGTGCCCCTCGATGACGCCGCTGCCGCTTTCTCCCACGCCTCGCTCTCCGCACACCTGGTGCTTGCAGGCACGCCCGCACACCACAGGTATGGCGAGGGGTCGGATGGGGAAAGGGTGGAGTGGAGGGGAGGGAGCGGTTGGAGCAGGGGAGGGGAAGGCCTGGGCGCGTGGTGGTGGCTTTGGTTGGCCCTCTGCCAAGACCTTTGCTGTGGACTGCCCCATGCACGCTTTCCAACCCAACTCCTCTTCTCGCTCATCTGCTCGCTCCTCCTCCCGTTCTTTTCCCCTCCTTTGTCGTCCCCCACCCTTCCCCCCTGCCCCCACCAGGCGCAGTGAGGTGCGGCTGGTGCCACCATACACAGGCCACCCCGCGCACATCCTGCTGCTCTCAGACGCCTCGCTCTCCCGCCCTCAGTTCCTCACCTGGCGCTCCATCGCCGCCCTGCTGCACCTCTCCCTCTCCGTCTGGGATATCGCTCTGCACTCCTCCCTGCTCCCCCCTTCCACCCCTTCTTCCTCCTCCGACCCCTCCCAACCGCGCTCCACCGCCGTACCCTCTCCTGCGATTTCTGCAATTGCCGCTAGCAACCCGTCGCTCCCAGCAGCAAGCATGCAAGAGACACGCGCAGAGCAGGTGGCGGGTGCACTGGAGGGCGAGTACTCTCACCTCGCTGCCAGGCCACCGCATGCCGCAGCACCAGGGTCAGTGGGCAGTGGTTGGGGGGGAGAGAGAGGGGGAGGCGGAGGAGGGGGCATGGGCGCGGCGAGTGGGAGTCGGTCGCTGCAGTGGCAGCACGAGCAGCGCATGGCGGCATCCATGAATGATGCTCTGCTCGCCCGCTCCACACAGGGGGGCGCCCATGCGCCCGTGCATGGTGCCGTGCAGCACAATGCAGCGGAGAGCGTGCGGTCGTGGAACGACGCTCCTCAGTTCCGCTCCGCTCCCTTCTCATCCTTGTCTGCTTCCCATGCCCCGCTTGTCGTCTCGGTTGCGCCCTCGCAGCCACGCGTGTTCGCACATGCACACACTTACAGCATGCAGCAACAGGTGCAACAAGTCCAGCTGCTCCCACAGCAACAGCTGAACCAGCATCAGCAGCAGCAAATTGGGTTGAGCAGCAACGGTGCTGCTCGCTTTCACTCCCACTCGCGCCCGCCTGAGCTGATCTTCCCAACTTCCCCGACTGCCTCCTCCCATTACCCTGCCCCATTGTCTCCCACGTCTCCTTCCCTTGCTCTCCCAGACTCACCTGCCTCCCCACATCCCTCACACCACCCGCCCTTCTCTCCCACCGGTCCCACCTCCGTCTCTCACACCCTCTCCTATGCCCATGACTCCACGCCTGCGGCACACCTCTCATCACGCCATGCGCTGCTGCTGTTGACGCAGAAGGGCCCGCGGGCCAAGCACCTGCGCCACCTGCTGCATAAGGCCCTGCCTCGCGTGCTCGCTTCTGCCACTGTTGCCGCTGGTGCTGGGCAGAATTCTGCTGGCGCTGCTGCTGCTGCGCGTGATGCTGTGGCTGGTGAGTTGCATGTGTTGCTCTCACGTGTGCTCTGCTCGTTACATTTCTGCCACACAAAGCGTACCCCGTCATTGCCCTCCACTTACCATCACCATCATCCCTCCCCGCATATTCATCCGATTCTCGCACTCATAATTCGCTGCACAACGCTTTCCCTGTGCCATTCTCGTCTCTCTCCCACGCCCCTCTCCCCTCCTGCCGCCCCCCTGCGTGCAGTGCTGGCGGCGGGCATAGATCCCAGCGACCTGTGTGAGTTCCTGCGAGTCTCCTCGCGCCTCGTGCGCTGCGTGGAAGTGCCTCTTTCACGGATGAGTGACGAGGGTGTGCCTGCTAAGGCCACTCGCAAGGGGAAAGGCAGGGCCAGCATGCTCGCTTGCTTCCGCCCGGTGTCCCCCTTTGCAGCTGCCTCGGCGCACGCGTATAAGCTTCATGTGAGTTGAAGAGTGGCTGTTCCAAGAACCAAGCACGTGTCTGCACATGCTGCGTGCAAGTGGCTTGCCTTGTCCTGAACCCTGCTTTGATCCAAGTCACCCACGAGGTGCTGTCTTCGCCCCACATCCGCAATTCTCTTGCTCGCTCCGTCCGTCTCCTCCCTTCTGGTCCCTGTCTCACACTGGCAGGAGAGCCTGCAGCAGGAGTTTCCAGAGTTTCGCCATTTCGTCTCCATCGACCTGCACTCAACAGACGGGCCTGCCCAATTGAAACATTTCCGCTGCCCGCTGCCGGCCATGCTGCGCGTGCATGCGCTGCCAACAGAGTCCTTCGACCCCCCTCCAGATGACCTGATAGTCGCGGGGCACCTGGGCGTGGGGGATACATCTGATGAGGACAGCGATGGGGATGGGGATGGTGACAGTGATGCTCATGATGGTGAATATGATGGCGCTCGTGATGGTGATGCTCATGCGGATGGGTATGGGGATGTGGGTGAGGATGGCGATGGGGATGGAGATCGGGATGGGGATGGGGATGGCGATGGGGAAGGATATGATGGCAGTGCATGGGCAGAGCTGGACAGCCATGGGGGCATGAATTCATACGGCAGCAGGGATGCGGGAGATGCGAGTGATGGCAATGCAAGTGACGCCATGGGGGGCGGGCATGCGAATGGCTTTTCGGATTCTGGGACGGTGCTTGACAGCGGTGACTGGGGTGCTTACAGGGATGACAGGGGCCACGGGGGAGCGCAGGCGCACAAGGGAGAGGAGGAGAAGGGCGGCACGAGGAGGGGGAGGTATGCGCGGGGGAGCAGCACAGCGAGTGTGGTGTTTCACGAGGATGCGGACGCGGATGACTGGGGTGCTGGCCTGGGGGGCTACTCCCGGAGCACCACTCTCGGGTGTGGCAGGGAGAAGGACAAGGGGCGAGGGGTGGCGGTGCAAGGTGCTTCGGAGAATGGTTGGGGGGCAGGGGCTTCGGTGAAAGCGTTGCGCGCGTCGTCAATGCCCCGTCAGAGGGCGAGTGGGCAGGCAAAAGGCGGAAAGCACGCTGTGTCTCCTCCCACGCGCCCTCCTGCTCGTGCCACTTCCCGCCCTGCTCCTGCTGCTGCCATTCGCCCTCCCAACCAGCGATACGCCGTCGCTGCTGCTGACGGCTGTGAGGGGCAGGAGCAGGAGGAGAGGGCAGGGCAGCAAGAGCGGCATTTGAACCGCAACCTGTCTTTCCAGGGCGAGGGGTGGGACGGCAGTGGGGCTCACAGTGACGTGGAGCAGCGGCAGCAGCCGCGACAGCAGGAGGGGCAGCGGGGTGATGCCATGGAGGGCAATCAAGGCTCAGCGTGGACGCCAGGGGGAGGGGGCGGGGAAGACGAATGGGGAAGTTATTCCGAGCCAAACAACAGGATGCAGCGCAGCAGACCACAGCAGCAGCGGCAGCAGCATGGGCGGGGAAACCAGGAGGGCCCCCAGGAATTGAGTTCCCAAGGGCGGCAAGGGAGACGCATGAGATCACGCCCACCACCGGAGCCTCACTCTCCGCCGTCGCCCCTCCACCTGCCTGTGCCAGCCACCCTCCCTGCTGTGCCCAGCGCCAAGGATACCTTTGCCTCCCCGGACTCCACGCCCCCTCTCCCCCGGCGCAGCATCAGCATGGGGCGTGCGACCACGGGGGCATCCCTGCCGTCGCGGCTGGCGGACATGGTGCGCTCCCTCACGCCCTCCCGCTTCGACTACCGCCGCCATGCACACGAGCAGCGCCAGGGGGCAGAGGAGGAGGCGGGGGAGGAGGGCAGGGAGTTGAGGGCGGTGCAGAGCTTGAACAGCCGTGGCTTCCGAGGCAGCCGCAGTCACGTGAGGGCAGCAGGGAGTGGCGAGGGGGTGGGAGGTGTGGTAACAGTGGCAGCAGGGAGCAGCTTAAGCCGGCTTGGTTTGGGGAATCAGGGGGCGAGCGCAGGGAAGCAGGGCACGGGGAGGGGTAGAGAAGGGGCCGGGAGGCGGTGGGGTGGAGGGAGAGGTGGTGGGAATGGTAGCAAGGGTGAGGGCGAGAGGCCAGTTGAGCTCACGTCCTCGCTCTCCCTCCCCATGTGGGTTTCGGCTCGCAATCAACCCAGGGATGTCAGCCCCACGCGCCTCTCCCTGCCACGTGGCAACCCCTCGTTGCGCCACATCAGCAGCATGGGTGCAAGGACCACGAGTCGAGTGAACTCCCTGGCACGGAGTGTGAACAAAGCGCCCACTGCCCCTAACCGCAAGGGCCACCTGGGTGCCGCTGACCCCCCCACTTCCTACACCCGCAGCCTCAGCGAGAGCCATGCCACTGCTCGCCGAACAACTTTGCCAAACCTGCTGGCGAGCCTCGGAAAGCCACCGAAGCTGGTGCCTTTGGATGGGGAGGGGTCGGAGTACGGGATGGCAGTGGTGGCGGTGCTGTCAGCGCTGCCCATGCGCGCCAAGGTGGCTGCTGCCCTCGCATCGGGCGTGCAACACAGCGCAGGAATGGGTGGTGGCGGTGGTGGAACCTCGTTTGAGGGCTATACAGGCACCTCCGTGCATCGCCTCACCTTGCTGCAGGTACAGTGCTCTGCTCGCTGTGCACGTGTTACGCTGTGCCGGGGCAACCGTTAATCTGCCACGTGCCCACGTGAGTCTGTGCACTGTGATGATACTTCTTCCCACCCATTGTCTCCTGCTCGTGTGTGTGTGTGCCATGCCGTGTGTGCCATGCCGTGTGTGCCATGCCGTGTGTGCCGTGCAGGTGGTGGCAGCATGCATATGGGCGGAGCTGCAGTACGATCTCCTCCACTCACGGCCAGCCATAGAAGCAGCAGCTACAGCAGGGCCCGCCACCTCACATCCCGGTGCCTTCTCTCCCGCACTGCTCCTGCCGCAAGCTGCCGCCCTGCTGGCAGAGCTGGAGCGCCATGCCTCCACTGCGCCTCACAGCACAACCTGGCCACCCCCTGACGATGTCGTTCTCGCTCTCTCCTCCGGCCTCCTGGTCCTCGCCTTCTCCCCCACGCTGCCTGTCTCCGCCACCGCTCCCTCCGCCTCCTCCTTCCTCCGGTCCTCCTCCCTCTCTGCTGCCACCCTCTCCCGCCCCTCTCCTTCCTCGCTTCCTCACAACCCCTCGTCTCAGCCCCTCTCACCAGCAGCAGTAGCGGCAGTGCGAGCAGTGGCGAGCCAGTGTGTGTCACGCCTCAAGGGTCTTCTCTCGGCGCAAGGAGGAAGCCAGGGAAGGCTTGACAGTGGTGGCGGGTGTGATGGGAGGAGGAGTGGGTGGCTGCCTGAGACTGCTGAGGAAGTGGCAGGGATCCAAGCACAGCTGGCAGTAGCACAGCGCGTGCTGCCTGATTGGCTGGGAGTGCACCGCGCTGCACAGGAAGCTGCTGCAGTGGTGTGGGAGGATTGAGGGTGGTGCACGATGGTCAAGTTGATGTTGTGTTCCTTACTAACAGAAGCTACAGCTGGAAAACAACGAAGCATCTGCGTCGCTTGTGGGTGAAGCCATGGGGTGTCATGTCATCACTGGGAGCTTCTACATCCATATGGCTGTGTATATATGGCTTGCGGGTGGTTATGGCATTCACCTCACCGTGCTGATACACCTTGTGTAGGCTAACTTATGCTAATTTATTAATTTATTCATGTTAAGTTCATCCATAATGCTGAAATCATGTTTACCAAGGCAGTGAATATAATTTCGTAAGCCAATTCTCGCGAATCAATCGAAATCATCACCCATCTCGGGCAATCTCAGTGGCGGCTCCATTTTTCCAACGACCAAAGCCGAGGGCTGCCTCGAGATTTCCATTTTCCTCTCCCAAGACGTCGTTGCTTGCTGTTGCGCTCGCTCGCCATGGACCCCTCCACTTGCCCTGTCCGTAACACCTTCCGCTACACTAATTGCAGCAGCAAAAGGCCCAGTAGTACTGGATCCACACTGGATGCGCTGCTTCAGCCATGGATAGGTATAATCTCCCCGGCAATTCCGCGAGACGGCAGTGCAAAGGGGGTGCACCGAGGTGCCAGCACACGCTTGCCGTGCTCCTCGCGACCGGCTCCGAGTTCTGCCCGCAATGTCTGTCGGAAACGCTCTCAGGGCCCGGTCTCGCGACGCACAAGATCATATCGGCGCGCTTCTTCCTCGACACGCTTCGATCCGAGCCCGACCTATGCCGTCTGGTCGCGGCCGAGTCGCATTACCTGCTCGCGGCTCCGCTCGTGCAGGCCCTCGCGTGCTCGCGAGACGAGGAACTTGCGGCGACGTTAGCGGACTTGGTGGTCTTTCTTGTGAGCAAGGGGAGCGGTCGAGGCGCAAGGAACGACGCGAGCGGGAGCGACGAGGGGTTGCTGCTGGAGAATCTGGTTCGCGCGGTGGCGGTGGAGATGGATAAGATCCCCGTCGCCTCCTCCTCCAGCGGCCACTGCTTCTTGGTACGCCGCTGCGCCCGATATTCTGCTAGTTGTAACGTCTTCCCTTCATGTCTTCACGTTTTTCATTTGTTTGTTTGTTTTTTTTTGCTCAGCTGGTCCTTCTGGGGAAGCTCCTGACGGTCGCGTGCAACCGCTACAGCGCGTTGCCAGCGTGGTTGGCGCAGCAGAACGGCCTGTGGAGTCACGTGGTCAGCACGCTTCACAAGCAGGCACAGTAGGAATCCTACCTCGCATCAATTCAGTCGAATTCGCTCGTGTATTCCTTTTGTCCCACGTGCGAAGGACATAAACGTTTGTCGAAATCATGGAAGCACGACGAGGTATAGGCTACAGACTCTGATGTGATCCCCACACTACCATGCCTGATACGATTTCCCTCCTGTTCTGGTCGGCTCTTTTCGGTGTTGCAGGGACAGCATCCGTGCAGAGAGCCTGTTCGTCCTGCACAAGCTCTGCAGCCTGCCAGGCGGCATGCAGCTACTGGAAGAGAAGCTGCCTGGCATGGTGTGTGCGGGCATCGCCCTGCTGCTCTCCACGGACAGCAACGACGTCTCTGCCAACTGCGTCGCCCTCCTCACCGCCCTCTCCGCTCCCTCCCACCCTGCCTTCACGCTCTCATCACTCGCTCGTTTAGACCACCCAGAAGCGCAGCAGCCAGGAGGTGCTACCATGCACGGGCTTGGTTCGCAGGGCTGCGTGGCTGTGGGTTCTCAGAACCCCCGTGCGAGCCAGGCGATGCACACACAGGGCAAGGCCCCCCTGGGCCTGCGCATGATGCTGTGCGAGGGGCTCAAAAAGACTCTGCTCGCTGCTGACTCCGCCCTGCAGCTCGCAGCCCTGCACCTCATCTCCCAACTCGCTCTCTCCTGTGCGCCCTCACATGATGGCTCTGGCTCCGACGAACGGTCCAGATTTGACTGGGTGGCGAGGGAGGCGTGGGAGGTGGACTGGTGTAAGCAGGACGATATGAGGGGGGGTGATGGTGGGGGGATGGTGGATGAGCGGGGAGCAGCGGCGCTACAGGCGATGCTGGATGAGGGGCTGGCAGAGCACGTCTTTGAGCTGCTCCGGTCTGCAGATAGTGGTGAGCAACCTCCTTCCTTTCCCAGCCAGTCACTGCAACCGCCTGCTGATGTGCCCCATGCCATCTTGCGACATAACCGATGTGGCGCACTTTGTTTGCGTCCCCACACTCCTCGACCTGTGTGATCATGACACCCGTCTTATATTCTCACGCCCTGTGCCCTGTGCTTGTGCATCCCAGGTCTAGTACCAGACCCGTTGCTGCCGGCCGCCCTCTCATGCCTGCTGCACCTCGCAGCGTCGCCTGGAGCTGCAGGGCAGGCGTTTGCGCGGCGCTTTGTGTTTGGCTTCGACACGCTCACATCGCTGCTGCACAACGCCATAGAGGCCAACGACTTCCACCTGCAGGCGCTCTCCATCTCCGTCTTCCTGCACGCCCTGCGCTCCGCTCGCGCCACCCCTAGGGATGCCAGTCAGTTCCCTCCAGCAAGGCTGCACGGGCTGGTGTCTGCTCTGGCAGGAGTGGTGAGGCGATTCTGTGTGGACGTAAGGGAGAGGAAGCGCTGGGTGCTGGACCAGAATGAAGCCTTCTCCACCGCCTGCTTTGGCCTTGCTGTGCTCGCCACGTGGCAGAGCATTGTAGGCACAGAGAACATGCAGCTGCTGCGGTTGTTGGAGCAGTGTGTGGGTGATGGGGCGTCTATTCTGCCAGCCCTTCAGGACGTGCCCAGCACGGGTGGATCACTCACAGGCACGGGCGCCAAGCTCCATGGGGCGTCCTCAGCAGCCCTCCCTGCAGCTGCATGTGGTGCTGCAGGTGGGACGGATGAGGTGGCTGTGGCTGTTCTCACCTTCCTGCACGCCTGTGCTCAGCGCTTCCTGCACGCCCAGGCCACCACAGCCGCTGCTGCTGCTCTGGCGTCGTCCCAGCAGGATGCGGGGCTGTTGGCGATGGTGGGGGGATCGCAGGGCGTTCCCATGTTCCACAGCAGCCAACAGGAGGGCGTGGGAAGGGGCTCAGCAAACCTTGGTAGGACTGGCGGGACGTACACGCGAGGGAAGGCTGATAAGACTCAAGATTGGGGTGCAAAGGCGCCCTCTGTGTCTCCGTCTCACACCCCCACAGCCCTGCAGTGCTGCATTGACGACATAGCCGCTGCTCTTATGGCTGCTGCGGACATGCACGTTGCTCCCTTCATGTTCTCCCTGCACCCGCAGCTGCAGCCCCCACCTGGTCACATGCACGCGCCCCAATCAGCAGCATCACCACCGCCCTTCTCCGACCCAGCGGCCATTCTCTCCTGTGCATACGACGTGCTCAGCCACATGCTGGCGTGTCCCCTGCCCTCCCTTGCACCCATCGCACGCCAGTTCGCAGCCAAGCTCGCCTCCAGCTGGACCCTCTCCCTCATCTTCTCCTCCCTGCAAGCCTTCCACCCACCCACTGCCTCCTCACGTGCAGCCCCATCCTGGCGGCCCCAGTCAGTCGCTCCTCCCCAGGCGTCAGAGGGCAGCAAGTGGGATGTATTGCGCAGGGCAAGTCTGCGCTTTGCAGTGCTGCTGTCTACCGTGGCAGCAACAGGCGAGGAGGGGCAAGCGGTGGTGCAGTGGGTGGTGGGCGTGGCAGGGGTGGAGCGCATGCCGTGGGCTGTCAGTGACATGGTGCTGCTGCTCGCACAGGGCAGGGGGGAACCGGATGCTGGCAGGCTGGCAAGAGATATGCAGTGGCGCTACCAGGGGGGCGAGAGCAGGGAGGGGAGTGCTGGAGAAGAGGAGGAGGTGCAGGCGGTGCAGTGGGTGGTGCTTCTGATTCTGTACGCTGCTGTGCAATTCGATGACAGGTAAGCTGCCTCAGTGACAAATCTTGTTGCTACCATGCACACGTTCAGGTCCTTCACCACTGCACACTCCTCCATTTCACCTCTCCGGTTCTCTCCCCCTGTGCCCCGCCTACACCCATGGCACGTGTGTCTCTCCTGTGCGGAGCAGGCTGGTGGACTATGAGGACATGTTTGGCGCGCTGCAGAGCTTGGTGCTCTCCAACCGCATCCCACCACTCGGATCGCCACTCCTCCCCCTCCCCTCCCTCACACCTTCTCCCCACAACCACCAATCGGACGCCCACTCTCCCCCACCCCCCACCGCCACCCGCTCCACATTCTTCCTGCTGGTGTTCCTGTCGCTGCACGCGCTGCTGCGCCCCTGCTGCTCCACTGTGTCGTTTGACGCGCAGCACCGCCTCCTCTGCTTCCTGCACCGCCACGCAACAGCCCTCTCATTCCCCCTCACGGCCTGGCACCTGGCTCTACCGCACTGGATCCTGTTACAGGACGGTCTAGAGGAGCTCAGCCACAGCCTCGTGCACTCCTGGCTCTGCGCTGCTGCTGCCTCCCTGCCGCCTCCCTCTGCCTCAGGGCCCTCGCCCGGGACCAGCAATGCAGCAGTAGCAGCATCAGGCAGCGGTGGTGGCAGTTTAAGGAATGTAGGTGAGAGTTCGGGCGCTGGTGCTTGTGCTGCGGGTGGTGAGACGCCGGAGCTGGATGCTCTCGGTAGCTTGCTCAGCGGTGGCAGTGAGAGCAGCAATGCGAGCAGCAATGGAGTGGATGAGATGAGCGGTGACAAGGAGGAGGCAGGGAGGCGATGTGCTAGGGTGGTGGCAGGGGTGGTGAGGGAGATGTGGAGGGCGAGGGGGGAGTGGCAGCAGCTGGCACAGGTGACTGAGGCACTGGCGGTCCTGGTGGACAGGCATCCACATTTGAGTGCCCGATTGGAGCAAGGGGCGCTCTCAACCATGGTACGTCAGTGACATGCTTTTTCTCTATGCCTCATCAACTGCTACCTTGGAGAGTTCTGACTTGTTGTTTTCTCTTGATTCGTTTTCTCATGTGTCCCATGGCGCCATCAGCACCTGCTTCCCCTCTCTTCTGCAACCAACACCCTTCCCCTGGTCTCCCTTCCCTTCCCCCCCTCTGTCTGTGTGCGTGCACCAGTACATAGAGGCCATGCTGCTGAGCGGCTCTAACCTACCGCCGCCTCTGCTGCTCGCCACCCTGCACCTGCTGGCCCGCCTGCTCTCCCACCTGCCCCCTAAGCCCCCCGTCCCTCCGCGCATGGGAGGGCGGCTGCAGTCACCGCCACAGCAGGCAACAGCGTGGGAACGCTTAGCACAGCAGGTGAGAGGAGATGTTGATGTTGCCTTTCTTGTCTTATGAGGCAGTTTGTCCTTGGAAATAAGCTCGTTACTGGCATGCCTCCCATGGCGCCAATGCTACCCCTCCCAGGTGCTGATTGTGGTTGAGCCACTGGTGGAATCTACTGCTGTCAGCAGCACTGTGAACGCTGCGCCTCCCACTCCCTCACAACAAGAGCAGCCGCAACACCAGCAGCAGCAGCAGCAGCACTATAGCCAGGCATACAGGCAGGCGCAAGTGCATTGTGGTGATGGTGGTGCAGGGAGCGAGCAGGAGGAGCGTGGCGAGAGGGAGCAGGTGCTGGTGGGGGCGTTGAGCGTGATCAACGCGCTGCTATGGCACGCAACAACACTCTACACATCCAGTGGCGCTGAACCATGCAGCCAGCCCAACGGCGGAGCAAGATCAGGCGGCAGTCGTACAGTGGGCGATGCGCGGCTGATGGCAGTGGTGGAGGCAAACGAGGACGTGGTGAACGCGGCTGGCACCATCATGATGAGCTCGGCTCTTGTGGCCTTCACAGAGGGGTGTGTGCGGGCTGCTGCATGTGGCATCTGTGGAACCACTGGTGATCTCGAGGACACGCCAGCAGTGGCTGGTGGGGGGACGCAAGGAGGGGGATGTGGTGTGGGTGTGGTGCAGGCGCGAGGGAGTGGGGGAGTGTGGCAAGGCTACTCCTGCCGTGTGCTGCTCTCCTGTCTCACCTTCTTCAACCTGCGTGTCTCATGGTACGTGCGCCCCTACCCCCTCCACCCTACCACTAACGATGCATGCACCAGTCATCGGGCACTGCCTGAAAGGTATTCCACAACAAGTACCCCAACATCGAGCATAGTCTTTTGAGCTTCAGTATGCTCCTATACCTCACCAGCTCTCACAGCCGGCACTCACAATCATGCCCTCCCTGCTGCGTGCCCCAACTGCCTGTCCTCCCTTCACAGGGTGCATGCACTCGAGGCTGCATCCATTCTCCCCTCGGGCATTCCACCTCTCAATCTCTCGCTGCGGTTCTCTCCTCCATCACAGCAACCAGCAGCGGCACCAGCAACCCTATCAGCAGCAGCAGATGAAAGCGCCACTATTCCTGCCGCAGGCTGTGCCAGTCAGGGCGACCCAGCAGCCCCCATGCGGCAGGCGCAGCAGCAGGAGCGCCCCAGCGCGCTGAGCTTGGCCTCCGCTTGCGACCTCGCTGCCATTCTGCTCGCAGCCGCTGCCGGCCAGCTGCCTGCCACCGTGCCCGCACACAGCAGAGAGCAGCGGGTGGGAGGAGCAGCGGGACCAGGCTGTCCCCCTGGGAACAGCAGTGGTTGCGGCAAGGCCGATGGGGATGAGAGGAAGGGAACGGAGAGCAGGTCATGGGCAGGGAGGGCGGGTGGCAGATGCGGGCATGCGAGCATGCAAGACTCCCTTGTGGCTGCTGATCTTGCCTCGTGTGCCCTGCTCTCCTGCCTCTCCTCTCTCGCCCTCCCTGCACATGCATCCTCAGTACAGCCCCCTGCAGTAACATTGGACCAAGGTGGTTCAGGTACCTTTGCCTGGCCTGCCGTACCACCCCTGCTGCCTGCACCTGGGAGCACCCCAGGAGAAAGCAACCTACGCCTGTCACAGCAGGAGCAGCAGGAGCGTCAGAACGATGTACCATCTTCTCAGCCCTCTCCCCAGACCCCTTCCTCTCCTGTTCCACCTGCTGCTCTTCCCTCTCTCTCTCCCACTGTCTTCTGGCCGATCGCTGCTGCGCTGCAGCATGCAGCCTCGTGCCCACACCCCCCTGTGCGGCGCAACACGTGCCTCGCCCTCTCCTTGCTGCTGCGCTGCTTTGATCCAGCCTCTGTCGCTCTCCCCCTGGCAGCCAGCCCCTGGACTCGCCTGCTGCTAGACGATGCCCTTGCCTCTATCACTGCCGCCGCTGCTGCCACTGCTGCTGGACCTTCTTCTGCTGCTGTCACTGCTGTTGCACCAGATGCAGCAGCGGTGCGAGCAGGTGAGGGCAGGCCTGCTGGGGAAGCAGTGCAAGCCCAGTCCACCTCGTGCCCCTCGCCCGCCCTGCTGGACCTCCTGCTCTCACACAGCCTAGAAGCCCTCCACATCGCTGCCTCCTGCTTTCACCTCGCCCCACCCACCGCCCCTCCTCGATGGCTCTCTCAAATCTTCCAACCTGCCCGGGTCTCTGCTCTCCTGGGCTCGCTCTGGCGAACCCGCCAGCTGTCTCTGCCCGCCATCGCCACGTGTCACAGGCTCATTGGTGCGGGCCTGCTACCTCGCTCTGTTCTGCCCCAGCTTCTGGACCTCGTTCAGGTATGGGAGAGAGAGAGAGAGAGAGAGTGAGGGATGAAGGGGCGTGGGGGATGAAGAGGTGTGGGGAATGCAAGGGCCTGCATTGTCTGTCTTCAGCTCTTGCACACTCGCTCCACGCATACTGCCCATCCATGCACCACACTGACAGCTTCCTCCCCAACACTGTCTCCCTGCAGGCACATGCTCGGCCACAGCCACAGCAGAGCACCGGCAGCAACACCACCAGCAACTCCTCGTCCACGCTTACTGTTCGGCCTGTCTGGCTGGCGGGTTGCCTAGTGCTCTGCAGCCTCTCCATCCCAGCCGCTCTCTCCAATCCCTGTCTCGTGGACCCCTTGCTCCCTGCCACCCTGTCACAGCAGTGCGCTGCGTTCCTTGCCCTGCACGCCAAGCTGCCTCGCTGCACGCAGTAGCCCGTGCTGCACTGCCTGCCTTGCCGTGCAGCACTGTGGGACATGGAAACGTGATACAGGTATTGAGGAGCATTGAACGCAAGTGGCTGAAGTACAACCGATGCTACCATATCACTTGCCACCTGTTCGCCACGGGTGCTTTTCCTCGCGTGTGGTCGCGTTCAGAAGTCTCATTGCATTGCCAATGCCTCTATGAGTGAACCCCCACCAGAATTTCGCCCACAATCAACCAAGAACGAGGGCTCTTGGATATCCCCAGAGTAGCTCAATGTCCCCTTTGACCTTCATGAGGATAGGTAGGAACCTAAACTGCATGTATATGCCATGTGTCACTTGCTGTGCATGGTCTCTTGTTGGGCTGGAGAAGTGTGTATGCCAAGAATGCAGTCATGTTGTAAGCCACCACCGCTAGCCCAGCTTGCACTGTGCGGTCAAGGCTGTGAAAGCCCCTGCCTGGTGTTGGGTGCCTTTCGCCCCCCTGCCTGGTGTTGGGTGGTGGGTTCCACTGTCCACTGCCAGTGAAGAGGATTAGTTGTCCACTGCCATTGTAGCAGCAGGGACCTCCATGTGATACAACCTCCATGTATGTTGGTGCACTAATACAAGAGCAATCATGCAAGGGAGTTGAATGGCATTATCTGTGAAAAAGCTCCATTTCTCTAATTACCACTTGAACATAACAAGCTACATACATAACATCAGTTACAACATCTACCCTGCAATGTAATGGAGGTGCCTTAACTCCTCACTTCAGGCTCACTTCTACACCAATCCATCCTTCCCCAGCCTATCTTTGCGATATCTACTCCACTCCTCTGTACTCCCCTTCTTCTCTACTCCCCTCCTCTTCTCCCCTTCGCTGTCCCCCTTCTGCTCCATTCCCCCTTCTTTTCTGCTCTGCTCCCCTTCTTATCTGCTCTGCTACTTTTCTACTCGCTCACCCTTCCCTTCACTACACCAATCATGGCCTGTACTGCTGCCTGCTTCGCTGCTGCTTCTCCTACACTGCTTCACTGCTTCACTACTACGCTGCTACACTGCTACACTCCCCTTCTTCTCTACTCCCCTCCTCTTCTCCCCTTCACTGTCCCCCTTCTGCTCCATTCCCTTTCTTTTCTGCTCTACTCCCCTTCTTATCTGCTACACTGCTACACTGCTACACTGATTCACTGCTACACTGCTTCACTCACTGCTACACTGCTACACTCCTTCACTGCTACACTGCTTCACTGATTCACTGCTTCACTCACTGCTACACTGCTACACTCCTTCACTGCTACACTCCTTCACTGCTACACTGCTTAACTGCTTCACTGCTACACTGCTACACTCCTTCACCCCTTCACATCTTCACCCCTTCACAGCTTTACCCCTTCACAGCTTCACCCCTTCACTGCTTCACCCCTTCACTTCTTCACTGTGATTTTTTTTTTTTTTGGTATGGGCTCGTGCACGAGCTAGGGATGAGCAAATGGCGAACACGAACATGTTCGTGTTCGCCTGGGCTCGAACATGGCTGTTCAGCGAACCGAACACTGTTCGGTTCGCCGAACACTTTACACCAGAAAGGGTGTCCGAAGTTCGCCAAGAGAGGCGAACATTTCGTACGTTTTGGCGAACACGAACACGTTCGCTCAGAACATGTTCGCGTTCGCCTTAAAGGACCTTCTCAGATCCAAGTAGAGTGAAATCCAAATGTTTCACATTCCCTCCCCCCACCCCGCAAGCCAGTCCCGCCCTGCTAAATCCGCCCATGCTAGATCTACGCTTAAGCAACGGCGAAATGCTAGATCTACGCTTAAGCAACGGCGAAATGCTGGATCTGAGCTTAAGCAACGGCGAAATGCTAGATCTGAGCTTAAGCAACGGCGAAATGCTTGATCCGCACTTAAGCAACAGCGAATGCTAGATCTACGCTTAAGCAACGGCGAAATGCTAGATCTACGCTTAAGCAACGGCGAAATGCTAGATCTACGCTTAAGCAAAGGCGAAATGCTAGATCTGAGCTTAAGCAACGGCGAAATATCTTGATCCGCACTTAAGCAACGGCAAAAGGCCTTGATCCGCACTTAAGCAACGGCAAAAGGCCTTGATCTGAGCCCAAACACCAAGGCCCGCGCCCTAAAAATTGGTCGCGGGCCTATTCGTCGACGAACACATTGGCGTTCGTCGAAGGCCCGTGTCGATCACGAACACGTTCGTGTTCGTCGCGCCTCGGCCAGCTGAGCCGGGCGAACGGCGAACGTGTTCGGGCGAACACCGGACACGTTCGCCTCGAACAATTTAGGCCAAAAAAAAATCTTGTTCGGTTCGCCTCGAACACGTTCGAGGCGAACCGAACAGGTGTTTGTCATATTGCTCATCCCTAGCACGAGCTATGGGAGGATAAAAATCCGTCCCGCCAGCTCCCCCTTGGGTGGGTTTGCCGACGGACCGAGACCCTCAAAGCAGGGTACTGCCGTTCATTCAGCTAAAAACCTCCGTGAAACCCCAGCTGCTTATCTGCTTCGTCCCTCCATCTCTACTCTCCATCCCTTTCCTTCACCCCTTCTCTGCTGCTTCACCCCTTCTCTGCGTTTTCCTTAGCAGCTCTTAGCAGCTTCCTTAGCAGCTTCTTAGCAGCTTCTCAGCAGCTCCCTTAGCAGACCTTAGCAGCTTCCTTAACAGTCGTTAGCAGCTTCTTTAACGGCCCTTAGCAGCTTCCCTCCTCTCATCTGCTTCACCCCTTCTCATCTGCTTCACCCCTTCTCTCTGCTTCACCCCTCATCTCTGCTTCACCCCTCATCTCTGCTTCACCCCTCATCTCTGCTTCACCCCTCATCTCTGCTTCACCCCTTCTCATCTGCTTCACCCCTTATCTCCTCACCCCCTTCTCATCTGCTTCACCCCTTCTCATCTGCTTCACCCCTTCTCATCTGCTTCACCCCTTCTGCTTCACCCCTTCTCATCTGCTTCACCCCTTATCTCTTCTTCACCCCTTCTCATCTGCTTCACCCCTTCTCATCTGCTTCACCCCTTATCTCTTCTTCACCCCTTCTCTCTGCTTCACCCCTTCTCTCTCCTCACCCCCTTCTCTCCTTCCAACCCATCTCTGCTTCACCCCTACTCTCCTTCAACCCATCTCTGCCTCATCCGGTCTCTCCTTCACCCAATCTCTGCTTCACCCTGTCTCTCCTTCATACCATCTCTGCTTCACCCCTTCTCTCCTTCACCCCTTCTCTGACACCCCTTCTCTCCTTCCCTTCTCTCACCCCTTCTCCAACAAACCACTTTTTTTTTGTTGGTGTAGGCTCGTGCACGAGCCATTGGAGGACAAAAATCCGTCCCGCCAGCTCCCCCTTGGGTGGGTTCACCCCTCCACTTCTCCCCTTCTCTGTCCCCCTTCTGCTCCATTCACCCTACTTTTCTACTCACCCACCCTTCCCTTCACTACCAGTCATGGACTGTACTGCTGCACTGCTTCGCTGCTTCTTCTTGTACACTGCTTCACTGCTACACTGCTTCACTACTATACTGCTACACTGCTACACTGCTTCACTGCTACACTGCTTCACTGCTTCACTGCTTCACTGCTTCACTGCTTCACTGCTTCACAGCTTCGCTGCTACACTGCTACACTGCTTCACTGCTACACTACTACACTGCTACACTGCTTCACTGCTACACTGCTACACTGCTACACGCCTTCACTCCTTCACCCCTTCACAACTTCTCTCCTTTTTTTTTTTGGTGTGGGCTCGTGCACGAGCCATGGGAGGATAAAAATCTGTCCCGCCAGCTCCCCCTTGGGTGGGTTTGCCGACGGACTGAGACCCCAAAAAGCAGGGTACTGCCGTTCATTCGGCTAAAAACCTCCGTGAAACCCCAACTGCTTATCTGCTTCATCCCTCCATCCCTTCTCTCCATCACCCCTTCTCTGTTGCTTCACCCCTTCTCTGCTGCTTCACCCCTTCTCTGCTGCTTCCTTAGCAGCCCTTAGAAGCTTCCTTAACAGCCCTAAGCAGCATCATTAGCAGTTCCCTTAGCAGCTCTTAGCAGCTTCTTAGCAGCTCCCTTAGCAGTCCTTAGCAGCATCCTTAGCAGCTTCCTTAGCAGCCCTTAGCAGCTTCCTTAACAGCCCTTAGCAGCTTCCCTCCTCCCTTAACAGCAGCTACCCCACTCCTTCACCCCCTCCTCAGCATCACGGGTTTGAGGAACTGACTGTTCGGCGAGTAGCAAAGGATTCAAAGGGCACCAAGAGGAAAGGACCCTCCACACCCACGCCAGTGTGGAAAAGTCTGTGGCATCAAGTCCTCCTCACCCACGCCAGTGAGGAAAAACTTGTGGTAACCGAGTCACCCCAAGGGAATCGCTACCTGGAGTGTGTGGTATCCATTGCAACCGCCGGCCGGCCGGTTGGTCAGGACCAGCCTCCATCACAGATTCCCTTGAAGCTCCCCGACCACCGCATGCCACAACCCCTTGGCCTGAGCATGCACACTCAGTTGCCCTTTGCCCCCGCGCCACCCACCATCCCAGTCAAAACCTCGCCACCGCTCTGCCAAAGGTTCTAGCCGCTTCCCCCTCCCCTCGTCTCCTCTCTTCACAGAATCGTGGCTGATTCAGTGTCGCTGCTGTCTGCTATAGCTGCTGCGTCGGCTACCGTTGTCCTGCTACCGTTGTCCTGCTACCGTTGCCCTGCTACCGTTGCCCTGCTACCGTTGTCCTGCTACCGTTGTCCTGCTACCGTTGTCCTGCTACCGTTGTCCTGCTACCGTTGCCCTGCTACCGTTGCCCTGCTACCGTTGTCCTGCTACCGTTGTCCTGCTACCGTTGTCCTGCTACCGTTGTCCTGCTACCGTTGTCCTGCTACCGTTGTCCTGCTACCGTTGTCCTGCTACCGTTGTCCTGCTACCGTTGTCCTGCTACCGTTGTCCTGCTACCGTTGTCCTGCTACCGTTGTCCTGCTACCGTTGTCCTGCTACCGTTGTCCTGCTACCGTTGCCCTGCTACCGTTGTCCTGCTACCGTTGTCCTGCTACCGTTGTCCTGCTACCGTTGTCCTGCTACCGTTGTCCTGCTACCGTTGTCCTGCTACCGTTGTCCTGCTACCGTTGTCCTGCTACCGTTGTCCTGCTACCGTTGTCCTGCTACCGTTGTCCTGCTACTGTTGACCTGCTACCGTTGAAGTGCGGTGTGTGCTGCTGACGTTGGAAAGGGCGGTGTGTGCTGCTGACGTTGGAAGGGGAGGTGTGTCCTGCTGACGTTGGAAGGGGAGGTGTGTCCTGCTGACGTTGGAAGGGGAGGTGTGTCCTGCTGACGTTGGAAGGGGAGGTGTGTCCTGCTGACGTTGGAAGGGGAGGTGTGTCCTGCTGACGTTGGAAGGGGAGGTGTGTCCTGCTGACGTTGGAAGGGGAGGTGTGTCCTGCTGACGTTGGAAGGGGAGGTGTGTCCTGCTGACGTTGGAAGGGGAGGTGTGTCCTGCTGCCGTGACGACCGTTGAAATTGCTGCTGCCGTGGAAGACGTTGAAACCGCTGCTGCCGTGAAGACGTTGAAACCGCTGCTGCCGTGGAGACGTTGAAACCGCTGCTGCAGTGAAGACCATAGAGATTGCTGCTGCCGTTGAAGACCGTTGCCACCTCTCCCCTTGTCTGCACCAGGCTGCTCCAACCCTTCAGCGTTCAGGGGTTCTTCGCCTCTTCTCTCCACCAAGCCGCTTCTCCCCTTGACTGCACCAGGCTGATTCAACCCTTCAGGGTTTAGGGGTTCTCCTTTTCTCTCCACCAGGCAACTTCTCCCCTTGTCTGCGACAGGCTGCTTCAACCTTGATGGGTTTAGGGGTTCTCCTCCTCTTCTCTCCACCAGGCCGCTTCTCCTCTTCTCCCCACCAGGCTGCTTCACCCCTTCTCCGCATTGGCTGCATAGCCTCTCCTTGCAGCCTCTGCTTCGCGGCGGTTTCGTAATCTGTTTCGTAGTCCGCGATTCCTTCGTAGTCCGCAGTTCCTTCGTAATCCGCAGTTCCTTCGTAGTCCTCAGATCCTTCGTAGTCCGCAGTTCCTTCGTAGTCCGCAGTTCCTTCGTAGTCCGCAGTTCCTTCGTAGTCCGCAGATCCTTCGTAGTCCGCAGTTCCTTCGTAGTCCGCGGTTCATTCAAAATCCGCCGTTCGTCGCTCCCTCGTAGCCCGCCGTTCGCCGTTGCCTTGTAGTCAGTCCGCCGTTGCCTTGTAAGGCTGTCCACTTCCATTTGCTCCTGTTTAAGAAAAAACGGCAGAGTTCAATCAGTAAATATTCATAAACATCCGAACTTCAAGAAAACGATGCTAGCAGCCACATGAAACAGAAAACGGTTAACGGGCAAGGAGTTGAACTTACCTGAAAAAAAGTCATTGGTTGCTGTTACAGACCCGCATCTCCGCCGTTGCTCTTGTTGCAGATCCGCATCTGCCTCCGCTCTCAAGCAACGTGATCCTTTGTTGCTGGAGGCCGGGGCAGGAAACAAAGGAAACCGATGCTAGAAGTTAGTAAACAGCAAACAAATGAAAAATCTAAGTTAAGACAAATGCGAAATTGAGAACGAACATGCAAAACCAACGACGAGAAAACGAAACAGGCGGACGTCCATGGTTCACAGGCTGCAGCCGTCAGAGGGAGGAGACACTCTGATCTACCCAACCCACACGCTATTCTACCCAACAACCCGAGGAGGATCATCTAACAACTGCAGCACTGTGACCAACGGACGGTGGAAACGGCGGTGAAACGAGCGGGCGATTGTGGGATGAAAACAATGATAAAACGAAAGCGGGAAAAGCAGCGAAACCGAAAAAAAGCAACGAAATAGGGACAAGGAAAGCAACACTTCCCGATCGTTGCAGGCAGCGGGATGAACGGCGGCAGCGGAATGAACGACGGTAGCAACTCGTCCAGCGCGCTCCACCCGCCAGCCACGGCGTCAGACCGCCAGTCTTGTCTGCTGCTGATGATTCGTTGTCAGCTTCGTCAACTCCTCGCAACTCCTCGCTCCATTGACGTACCCCGTATTCCTGAAAAGCAGGGAAGACACAAAGTGCTCGAAGTTAGTAAGCAGCTATGACGAGTAGAAAAACAAAGAAAAAACAAGTGCGAGAAACAAAAAGCGAAATTGAAAACGAACATGGAAACCAACGACGAGAAAACGAAACAGGCGGACGTCCATGGTTCACAGGCTGCAGCCATCAGAGGGAGGAGACACTCTGATCTACCCAACCCACACGCTATTCTACCCAACAACCCGAGGAGGATCATCTAACGACTGCAGCACTGTGAACCAGAGGGACGGTGGAAACGGCGATGAAACGAGTGGGCGATTGCGGGATGAAAACAATGATAAAACGAAATTGAAAAAGCAGGGAGACAAGGGAAGCAACACTTCCCGATCAGCGTTGGTGGCGTGAAGAGCGGAGGCAGCGCCGCATCCAGCGAACCACACGGCGTCAGATCGCGTCCGGCCGCCAGCCATGGCCTGAAAAAAGAGAGCAGCAGTCGGCGTGATCACAGGCGGCGGCAGCACGTCCGCCAGGCTTGAGGCCAGCACTTCGGGTTGTTCAACGGCTTGAAAATGGAGCAGCAGGACTTGAGAACGACATTTGCTTTTGTACCTGCAAAGATACAAACAAACAAGAGTCAGAAATCAAGAAACAAGGGTATCCAACAAAACAAGGACATTCAATGCGTGAAACCCAGAATATGTAGACAAAACAACTTGATCCTTACCTCTGGAGATCGAAGGGCGGGCTGGGCGGGGGGCGGTGTCGGGTTGGAGGCGAGTTGCTGGTTGGTGATGGTGGCGATGGTGGCGATGGCGGTGGGCGATCTCCAGGGTGGATGTAATAAAGCGTCGGACTGCGTCAGACCAGCTTGGAAGTGGAGAGAAGCTCTTGGGATCGTTCAGTGGCTGCACGCAGCATCTCGATTGCAGATTCGAGTTTGGACTTGAGGACGACGAAGTGTTTTGAACCTGCGAAATTGCAACAACAGAGTCAGAACTCGGAGATAACGATAAAAGAATTTCTGAAGCAATGGTATTCGAAAAGCGTCAAAGTAAAAACATGCACAGCTTCAAGCTTACCTATGGAGATCGAAGGGCAGGCTGGGCGGGGGGCGGTGTCGGGATGGAGGCGAGTTGTTGGTTGGCGATGGTGGCATGGTGGCGATGGCGGTGGGCGATCTCCAGGGTCGTCGTATTGAAGCTCATAGATGAGATAGAAGCTCGTTGAGATGAAGCTCGTTCATGACAAGTGAACTCAGAAATTATGGAATAGAAGTTCAACTTTCACTCACGGTATTATACTACCAGAACTTGGGGGTGGTGTGTCTAGATGCTGCTTGTTCTGAGGCTAAAATTGAATCCAATAGGTGACGCCCTCGGCTGTGGTGCCAGACTGCGGCTGTGTTTCGCGCGTGTTTTTGTGCCGCTCGTCTGAGCGGGCGATTTCGTCTCCCTGCTCTGTGAGTAGGTTGTCTGTGAGCAGCCTTTAAGCAAGGCGAGGATGAAGGAGAAGAGTTGTTGGGGCACAACAGTCAGAAAACAATAGTACTAGAGGATTGCTGCAGTTCTGTCGAGAGTGGTGGATACCACCACCTGATGCCGGTCAGATCAAGTGTTAGGGTAAACATATCGCATGCGATATATTACCCGTAATTTACGATCCTGAAATGAGGACCCGCGTGTTTGCGTGGCTTTGAAATGTACTGGCAGTTCACACCCCCATGCTGCGCACTCTGGTCCAACCTCCAACATGTAAAACTTGCACTACGCTTCGAAGCATCCTACCGACGTAAAAGTATTGTGTCTCGAATTTTTGCTACGTTCCCAAATGCTCACGGGCGGACCGAGTTGAGACTTTCGACGGCGCATCCCAACTCGATGTCAGTTGTTTTTGGCGCTGTGCAGAGCGGCAAAAACGCGGGAAAGATGAGGCTGTCGCCAAAGGAAGCTTCGCCACGGAACTGTTGCAAGCGTGCGAAGTTGTCCACACTCTTGTTGGAACAGTTGCTGACGGCTGGACAAGATCATCGCCTGTGGTTCCGCGCACGTTGGCTGAAAAAAGTTGCTGAGCTGTACCGATAGGTGGCGCCACATCAGCACTTTAGAGATACCTTGACCTCCACGCACATCTGATGTGCACACTGTACCCGCACGCCTAGTCAATCCGGACCAATTGAAGATTACTTTGCAAAAAAACAAGAGGCGACGAAATCGTCGTAGGGTTGCGGAGCGTGAGGCGACGAAATCGTTTTAGGGTTGCGGAGCGTTTTGCATAAACAACATGTTTGATACAACTGTAATACTAAGTATGTAACTCGTTTTTTCATTATTACCTTATTATGCATCACCTTTAGTACCGAGTATGAAACTCACATGCAAAAGAGCACGCAAGGACTCGAGCTAACCTTTCGTTTCCACACAAAATCTCTCACCACTGCGTTACGACAGCCGTTTCTAGGAATAGGCTTTTGTATCTCCAAATGTTTTTTTGCGACGAATCTCCATTGTTAGGGTTTCCTTTTTCTCCTTTTCCTTCCTCTCGCCACTCTAGTCTCATTCTTCGTGGCTCTTCTCTCGTGCAAGCTGGTACGCCGTTTTTCATAGGTATAAATGGATATTAGCCACTTAAACTTCATTTTAAAACCGAAATGCAAAATAGTGAACCCGTCTCCAGTTTGAAAGAGAGCTTGTCGAGCGAAACAAGTTTCAAAACCAAACCGACAAGTTCGCACTGTTTCAATGAGAGGGTTTGAATAGATCAAACAAATCTGATTGGTTCCCGCCAAAACTGAAAAAAGGAACACAGCACGTCAGGCGTCGCATCTCTGTTTTGGGAGCCGCAGAGCAGAAGCACTGTGATCGTTTTGTCACGTCCCTCCGATTTTTTGCCCACCTTGTGGTTCAAGTTGGGCATGGATGAAGTACTACTACGTCTTCCGTTCAGTTTTTCGTGCTTCTTAGTTTTTAGTTGCTTGTCCAGCCATGTAGCCCCAACTTCGACTGTTGTTACCGCAACTTAGGCGCGTAGTGATTATATGCCATGATTGCGCAGTGATTGTGCCATTTAGATTACCCTCTCGCCGCCTTCCTATCCCTCCTCACTCATCCTCGCGCCGTCCGTCTCGACGCCGTCCCGCCGCCCGAATTGTCGCCTCCATCGACGTCGCCCTCGCTATCTCCCGTCGCGGCCCTTCCCTCAGTTCGCGTCGCCACGCTACCTCTCCCCTCCCCTCCCATCGCCCTTCCTCTCCCGTCGCCTTTCCTCTCCCGTTGCCCTTCCTCTCCCATCGCTTTCCTCTCCTGCCGCCCTTCCTTCTCTCTCGTCGCCCTTCTCTCCCGTTGCCCTTCCTCTCCCGTCGCCTTCCTCTCCCGCCGCCCTTCTTTCTCTCCCGCCGCCCTTCCTTCTCTCCCGTCGCCCTTCGCTCCCGTCGCCTTTCTCTCCCGTTGCCCTTTCTACTCTCCCGTCGCCCTTCCTACTCTTCCGTCGCCCTTCCTACTCTCCCGTCGCCTTTCTCTCCCGTCGCCCTTCCTCTCTCCTGTCGCCTATTCTCTCTCCCGCCGCCCTTCCTTCTTCTCGTCGCCCTTCCTCTCTCCCGTCGCCCTTTCTTTCTCCCGTCTCCTATCCTCCCTCCCATCACCCGTCTTCTCTCCCGTCGCCCTGTGAAAGGAAGAACGAGAATGAATGAACTATGAATGAAGTGAGTACAAATATGAAACCCTAATTGGGTTGTACCCCCTATGGGATACCCCACTATAGCCTACACAAATAAGTAAGCTATAATGTTCTGACACACCCCCATAGGCAAAGTGGGGGAGAACAAGGGGTCACAAGACCAGTCAAGCAAAGCAAAGCAAAGCTCAGGGTGGATCACAAAGTCACCACACATTCCGAGCACAAGTTCAAGGGCCACAAGGCCAGTTCACATGCAAGATCATATATAGAGGTATACAAGAGTCAAGCAAAACAAGAGCAAGAGTATATATAGGTCAAGGTACAAGCAAGGTCAAGAAGAGAGCAAGTGAGGCAAGACAGGCACAAGACCCAGCTGCGGGCAGCAACGCTGATGATCACAAGGCGCAAGTGCCTTGGTGAAGACATCAGCAGTGTTGGCCTCAGAGGCCACGTACGCAAGTCGCAACTGTCCACGCTGCTGTAGCTCACGAGCAAGAAAGTAGCGGAGAGCAATGTGCTTTGTCCTGTGCTCCAGTCGCTGCTCTCGACACAAGGCCAGCATAGCCTTGTTGTCTACGTACAGGACTGGAGGAGAACGAGGCGGCTCTCCAAGGTCGGTCAGCAGGTAGGTGAGCCAGCGAAGCTCCTGAGCAGCCATAGCCCCGGCGTAGATCTCAGCCTCACAACTAGAGCCGAGAACGGAAGACGAGCGGGTAGCCCGCCACGAAACAGAGCCGGAACCAAGGCTGAAGGTGTAACCCTGTGACGACCGCTGCGTAGCCTAGTCGTCAGCCCAAGAAGCGTCCGCGTGCCCAGTGAGGACCAGTGGACTGCGCCCTCCAAGCACTAGCCCCATGCCCGACGTACTGCACAAGTAGCGCAACACCCTCTTCGCTGCAGCCATGTGCTCTGGTCGGTGTCTCCCAGGAGCAACATAGCGTGCGAGAATGCTAAGAGGGTATGCAAGGTCAGATAGTGTGCAGGTCATCAGGTACATGAGGCAGCCAACAAGCTCTGGGTACGGGCCACTCGACTCTACGGACTCATCCGAAGGCAGAGCTGAGAGCGAGTGACGAGTAGGCAGAGGAGTGGCCTGAGGCGAGGAGTACGTGAAGCCGAAGCGCTGAAGGACCTGCTGCACCATGTGTGACTGAGTCAGGGTAATGGTGCGGCGTGCTCTGTCCCGGGTGATCTGCAAGCCAAGGTAGCTGCGCAGTTCACCCAGGTCAGTGCACGTGTGTCTCTTCTGCAGCTCGGACTTCACGTGGGCGAGCCCAGCAGTGTCAGCTGTGGCAAAGACCAAGTCGTCGACGTACACGAGGATGTAGAACGGCGGCAGAGAGGTGTCGGTGCGCAGAAACAGCGACGGGTCGACAGTAGAAGGAGCAAACCCAAGTGCCGCCAGCGTAGTCCTCAGTGTGTCGTGCCACTCACGTGGCGCCTGGCGGAGACCGTAGACTGGACGCCGGAGACTCCACTGGGTACCAGGAGGGAAAGACCCAGTGAAGCCAGGCGGGCGACGCAGCCAGATCTCCTCGTGCAGGCTGCCCTGCAAGAAAGCAGTGCTGAAGTCGAGAGAGTGCAGCTCGTAGTCACGGTGAGCAGCAACGTGCAGCAGTACCCGAAGAGTGGTCATCTTTGGGGTGGGGGAGAAGGTCTGAAAGTAGTCAACTCCGTGCCGCTGACTGAAGCCACGAGCCACGTAACGCGCCTTGAAGACAGGCGGAGAACCCGGCGGCCGCTTCACCCTGAAAATCCACATGCCACTGACGATGTTCGCCCCAGGAGGGGGAACAGCGTCAACGTAGGTGCCTGTGGACTTCCAGGAAGCCATCTCTGCATCCATAGTTGCCTGCCACTGAGAGGAGTAGGGACCCTCTATCGCCTCCGCGTAAGAGCGCGGAGTCGGGATGTCTAGTGCATCCGGGTCTCCCTCAGGGGCGAGCAGTACAGACGCGAGATGAGGTGAAGCGGCGGCCAGACACTGGAACTCCTCCTGCCTGTCCTCAAGGACGTCCGTGCCTAGGGCACACTCACCCCCGACGGACGGAGGACAGGCAGACTCAGACTCAGCGACAAGACTAGCAGCGTAGTCTAGACGACAGCGCGCAGCAAAGTCGACAAGCTCAGTGACAAGGGCAGACGCAGCAGAAGACTCGAAGGAAGGGTCAGTGACAGCAGTAGCAAGGAGACGCGTGACACTGGGACTGGCAGCACGAAGAGAGTTCGACTCCGGGTCGGCAAGAGCAGGAAGAGAGGACTCAGGAGGAGAAGGCAAAGGGGCACGCAGAGGAGCAGTGGACGGACGCAGAGACATCCGGTGCGTGCCAGGGACAGGAGGAGGACGCTGACGCGAACCGCGACCACTAGTGCATGCAGGACGAACAGGCGACGCAGGACGAGACGCAGGCTCACGACGCTCAGTAAGACCTCCAGTCGGACCAGCGTAGGGAGAAGGAGCAGGCAAAGGGGAGGCAGGCTGTAGCTGTGACTGGGACTGGACAGGCTGTAGACACTCTAAGGGAGGCGGAGGAGGACCAGGAGAAGGTGTAAGACCAAGAACCTGCTGCAGGAGCGGAACGAAGTACGGTCGGGGCCGCGTGGCGACGCCACAAACAGCAGGGACAACACCAGTACCCCCAGCAAGAGTACCCGCTCCAGCAGCACCTCCAGCAGCACCTCCAGCAGCACCAGCAGCAGCTCAAGAACTCCCAGCAGCACCAGGAGCACTGCCAGTCGGACCGCCAGCAGTAGTCTCAGTGCCAACACCCTCAGCAGCACCAGCTCCAGGAGAACCATCAGGCCCAGCAGCTCCGGCACCCACAGCACGAGCACCTCTGGGACACGCGGCAGCAGCACCCTCTGCAGCCGAAGAACCTCCAGCACCAGCAGTACACCTCCAGCGCCGGGCAAACCACTCACGCAGCTCCTGTGGGGAGAGTGGATCTCGGCGCGACGAAGCACCTCCAGGCGGAGAACCTCCAGTCGCAGCACCCCCAGGCTCAGCACCCCCAGACTCAGCACCCCCAGGCTCAGCACCCCCAGACTGAGTACCCCTAGGCTCAGCACCCCCAGGCTCAGCACCCCCAGGCTCCGCACCCCCAGACTCCGCACCCCCAGGCTCAGCACCCCCAGGCTCAGCTCTCGCAGCAGCACCAGAGTCACCAATGACCTCGAAAGGCTCGACCGCGTCTACCTGGGACACACCTGAAGGGGCAGGACCCTGAGGGGGGAGGGGGTCTACCGGGGGGGGACCTGGTACCAAGAAGAGTGGGGGCGGGGGAAGGGAAGGAGTGCGGTAGGGGAAGAGGCGGTAGTAGGGTACCGACTCGTCGAACGTGACGTCCTGGGAGGACAGAACACGGCGAGAGGTGGGGTGGTAGAACTGCCACCCTGGCGCGTCGGGGGGGAACCCCAGGAAGACGCAAGGAGCAGCGCGAGGGGACAGCTTGTCCGCAGACAAGTCGCGGACAAACGCCCGAGATCCCCAGACTCGGAACGCCGACGCATCTCCAACCTTCCCCGTCCACCGCAGGGCTGGGGAGGTCTCCGGCCTGGAGACCCTGGGGTGGAGGTTGATCTGATGCGCCGCGTACCTGACCGCAAACGGCCACAGAAAATGGGGGGCAACCGCATGCATCATAGACGTACGAGCGACGTCCATGACCATGCCAATGCGGCGCTCTGCAATCCCATTTTGCTGCGGTGAGTCCGGAAGCGTGAAGGTCTGGCGGATGCCTCGCGCACGACAGAAGGCACGCACAAGGCTAGAGGAGAACTCTCCGCCTCTGTCCGAGTGCAGACGCAACACAGGAAAGTCCGAGCCAAAGCTCTGCCTGAGCCGGAGACGAGCTGCGCGGATCCAGTCGATCAGCACCTCAGTGACATCACCCTTGCTGCGCAAGGGGAAGACTGTGGTGTAACGCGAGTAGTCGTCAACCACCAACAGGAAGTAGCGCTCGTGACCGAGTCCACGGACGCGGGCAGGGCCCCACACGTCCATGTGAAGCGTCTGCAACGGAGCCTCTGTCGGAGGAAACTGGGAGGAGTGAGGGGCAGCACGCTGGCGCCCCTCGACACAGGGGACACAGGCAGGGCCAGGGCCCTGAGGAAGGGGAGGGAGGGACCGGGGGAGACCAGACACAAGAAGACGGGAGGCCATGCCTCTGAGCCGAAGCAGAGAGGGGTGGCCAAGGCGGTGGTGCCAGAGGAGAGTCTCGTGAGACAGACGGCGACACGAGCAGGGGGCAGACTCAGGACCAGACCTGGACGCTGCAGCATACACCTGACCAGACGAAGGGACTCTACCAGACTCAGCACCGGGAGGAGAAGCAGTGGTCAGTGTGTACAGGCTCGACCCTGGCTGACGTGTAAACGTAGCCAGGTGGCGACCTGTGCTAGCCTCTGTGCAGTGTGTCACCCGCTGACGAGCAGGAGTGAACTGGTGGACCCCCACATCCTGTAGGTCAGCACCACTCACCAGGTTCGTAGAGAACGAGGGGAGGTAAAGACCAGTCAGGGTGCCGGAGGGAGCCGCCGGACACGGGAGGACTGTGGAGAAACGAGATAGGACAGGACCCCCAGAGGGGTCAGCCAGGGACACCGCAACCGGCCGACTAAGCGGCGTGAGAGTGGTGCGGTCCTGAAAGAAGGAGCGAGACGCCCCAGAGTCAAGGGTGAAGGTGTGGGAGGCAGAAGCCGACACAGTACCTGAGAGGGCAGACTCACCAGCACCTGAGAGCACAGACGCACTGGCACCTAGAGCAGCAGCCTCACTGGCACCTGACACAGCAGTACCAATGCCCGGGTCGGGCGGAAAGCACCGGTAACAGTCACCTTCATCACTAACAGTCACAGCATACATGGCAGCAAGGATAGCATCAAAGTCAAGATCAAACACAGCTACACCAGCCCTAGACAGCTCTCCCCAGCGGGGGATCTCAGAGGCCTCCGGAAACTGCTGGCGCCAAGCGTCGGTCAGGCGGGCAAAG